AAACAAAAAAAATAATAAACAAAAAAAAAGAGATAGAAAAATGAAAAGAATGAAAAAAAAAAAAAGACACAAAAAGCAAAAAAGAAAAAAAGAAGTAAAAAGAGAAGAAAAAGAAGGAAGCAAAAAACAAACAAAAAAAATAGAAAAAAAAAGACGAAAAGAAGAAAAAGAAGGATGCGGAAAAGAAGAAAAAGATGGATATAAAAAAGAAGAATACAAAAAAGAAGAAAAGAAGGATATAAAAAAGAAGGATGAGGAAAAGAAAAAAAGAAATAAAGCGAAAAAGAAGAAAAAGGCGAAAGAAAAATAAAGCAGGAAAAAAAAAAAGAATGGAAACAAAAAAAAAAACGGAAGACTCTAAGAACAACAACGAAAAACAATGACTCCAAGATGACAACTCCAAGAACGACGATTCCAAGAATGCTGAAATATAGGAAAGAAAAGAAAGTTAGTTAAGAGGAGAAAAACAAAAAAAAATAAACGAGAAAAAAGAGGTAGAAAAATAAAAAAAATGAAAAAAAGAAAAGAACAAAAAGCGGAAAAGAAAAAAAGAAGTAAAAAGAAAAGAAAAAAAAAAAAATGAAAGACAAATGAAATAGAATGAATAAAGAAGAAAACGTGAAAGAAAATGAGGCAGAAAAAAAGAAAAAAAAAAAAAAAAAAAAAAAAAAGGAAGCGAAAAAGAAGAAAAAAGCGGAAAATAAAGCCGAAAAAAGAAAAGAATAAAGTGGGAAACAAAGAAAAGTGAAAAATGAAGAAAAGAAGGAAGCGAAAAAGAAAAGAAATAAAATGGTGAAAGAAGAAAAAGTGAAAATAAAAGAAAGAAAATAAAGCAGAAAAGGGGAAAGAAAGTAAGGTGGAAAAAAAGTAGAGGAAAGGAAAATAAAAGGTAAGAAAAAAATAAAAAAAATAAAAGCAAAGAAAAATAAAAAAAAAGCAAAAAACACGTACCTGAGCCTAAAATTAAGTGAAGCAAAAAACAAAAGCCGAAAAAAAAGAACGAAAGCCAAAATCCAAAACAAACGATTATTAATTGTTTATATATGATCAGTGATCTCAAAAATGATTGGCCGATCATATAAGGGTCACAGTGCGACAGGTCGCTAATTTATTTTTGCCTAATTTTTATATCATATTTTAGAAAATACCCTTTCGAATATTTTGGCTTCGTTAAAAGAAAATAATACATTATTAAAAGAACTTTCTGAAAAGGTAGATAGAATTGAAAGCCGATTAGATCAAATTGAAGATAGTTATTCAGAAAGTTTTGATTTTGCTTATGAAAATAGCTTTATAAAGGTATTTTTGTTTTTTTTTTGTTTTAATTTGAATAAAAATTATAAAATTTTTAAATATATTCAGATATTTGATATAAGATTTAATAATAAT